GCCCATGGACTTGGAGCCAGGCTATTTTTATAGTTAAGTGACACAGATCCTTTGCATGCCTGCAAGCCCATGCACGTCAGGCACACAGATGTGTTAATACCATGTTACTTTCATGGTAATGCCAGGCTAAAGAACTGTATCCTTTGCCAACTCCATTTGAAAGGAATGCCATTGTTTTGTTTGGTAGAGCATATGGCCAGTAAAGTATGTGCAGGGACTCCCAGCATTTTTGTTTAAAAGTTTGCTGCAGCAGTATAAACAATTAAGGCAACACTCAGAATTTCCAATCCTGAAAACCTGTTGACTCAGATGTTCTGTTTTCAAGAAAACCATGAAAGACCGGGGCATCCTTCTGGGGGTGCAGATAGCCTGCTGGCTGTGTGGCTTCCCCTTGCAGAAGAAGCACTGGTGTCCTACAAGCTTCCCAGTTTGGCTCTCTCACCAGAAGCCTCTTTCACTTGGGGAAGGTCCTACTTTCTTTCCCTAAAGCCCTTTCTTAACCCAGCCCCAAAAGGCATGATCATTAGGACTTTATCTTCTGAAGCTTTTTGAGGAAGAAAGCTAGGTTAGAACTTTTCAAGTTGACACCCATTTTTTCTCAACTTTTCATGGTGGGAAAAGATAAAAAAGAAAGTATTTATGATATTTGGCTGCGCATGTGAAACAGATTTCAGTGGTCTAGAGGGTTGCTTCGTGTCTTTATATACCAACCTCCACACATGATGGATTCAATGACAGCTCCTATCCAGTTGCCTTTAACTATGTCATACGACTAAGTATGCCTATGCCTTTGCCCACTTTTAACCGCACGACTGTTACTAGCAATATGCCCCTCTTTCTGACTTACTGGACTTGTATAGCAAATCACTCTCTTAGCATTTAGAGATTTGGCAGTGAAAAAATTTGACCATTTACATTCTTGCTTATGTGTGGTCTTCCTGTCAGTGCCAATCTTCTCTCAGTTGTATAAGATTTTGTCATTTTTTCCTTCTCGGTTAGGTGTTTAGTTTGAAAGAAAATAAGTGACTTTTTAAAAAGCGATTCATTGGACGTTCACGTTGAGTCAAGTTTAAGATTTGTAATGGGAAACTCCTGGTTGACTTTACAACTTGACTTTGAATTCTTAGAAAACGTCTGTTACAATTGCTTATTTTTCTCTGAGGAATTTCACACATCAACTTCAAGTTGATTTAATATAATTTCACATATTTAATAATTGCTATATGGACAGTCTACTCTTCAAGCAGAAAACCACGTGAGCATTTTGCTGCTGATTTTGCTAATCAAGGAAAAGATATTTATCATCTGAATGATTGTAGCAAATATATGAACATGAATAGCAAAGACATATATATGTCTTGCTGCTTTTGGAATAATTCAACTTTAATGACATTCCAACTATGTGGAATGTCAAGAGTTTTTGGAGAATAGAAAAAGCCATGTATTTTTCTTTCCCTTATAACCATTTTGTGCAGCATAGAATCCAGACATTGTCACCCATGAGCATGCCACAAATGCAGACCCATCGCGGCCCCTTTCAACCTTAAGATTCTTCAATTTGAGGCTACGTTTACTTTTTGCCTTTTCTCTCCTTGATTGTTGGATAAAGCCAAGGCATGGCTACAGAAGTAGAGAGCCTGCAAAAGCTGAAGTGCCTGGGACTCTTTTAACTGAGTTTGTCCCATCCTGCTTAGGTAGAAAGTGCCCGATTTCTGTAAAGCTGATGCGAGTTGTTATTGACTAAACAGCAGGGAATCACTCTAAGGCTCTCTGAAATGTGTCCCAACCAACAAAAATGATTTTATTTTTATGTATGTCACATCACCCAAGATTTCTCACCAAGGTTAGTGTGTTCTGTGCATGGCTGGCACAAAACCCCCAATGTTTACCTTAAGGCCTACAGAGTTCCTCACAAGGAAAGACAGAAGGGATGGGTAAAGCCAAGCTATCGCTATAAATGTCAATGAAGCTAAATTCAGTGGCCTTTTTGGCTGATACAGCTTATTTTTACTTTATTTTGACTCATGACAGTAGCTGGTCAATCAATGCATAGTAATAATGTACCTCTGAGTCTCCATATGCTTTGAAACCTGGATATAGGTTCTGGTAATTAGCTTAGCAATTGATAGCACCTGTTGTAGAAAGAACAGGAAAAGAAAGACAAACGAAACACCAAGAAATGGATGTGCTCACGTAGCCTAGGTGTTGTTGAGTGCAACACCTTAGTCTACCCCTTGGAGGATACTATGTATGGAAGATTTGAGTTCGAAGTTTACACCGCCCAGACAGGGATCCAAGAAGCCTTGCTTGGATGACCATTTTCCCCACCCCAAGAAAGCCATCTCAAAATGGAGCTGACTCCCACCATTCCATGCCCATCGTCGGAACTTTTCTGTGAATCACCCATCCCTTAGGGACGCCTTTAGGGGTTACACGTTCTCTTCTGTGAATAATGGGGAAGAGTGGCCACAAGAGGGCGCGTTCCAAAGACTTTTGCTCCTTGTCAGTTTATCCAGGGAAAGGCAGTTGCGCCTACTGGAAGCACCCCGTCTGTAGCGCCCAGTAATCTTGGTGATTATCAGTTACCTCCTGCTCCCTCTCATCCTGCAGAAAAAGTTAGGAATTTATGAGATGGGAGAAGCATGACTACCTGTAATACATTAAATGAGACAGAAGGAAAGGAAATGGAAATTCTAGTGATACATGTGAACATTCCGGAGCTCTATGGAAGGCAGACGAGTGATAAATTTCAAAAGCAAACAAAGCAGAGCAGGGAGAAATGTGACCATGAATCATCAGCGATACTGATTTGCTCACAAGTCTCTCCCTAATACGGTCTCCCGGATCGTAACAAAAACATCTTCCGTCTCCCCTGATTTTGTTGCCTAGTTTTCCTGCCTTATCAACAGTTTCCACCAGCGACAAATGACAAGTGACTTCAAACAGGGAGGAAAAAGGTTCTTTCTTTAATGCCTTGTGGGAACATGGTGTTCAGCTTCAGAGGATGCGTTTGTTTCCGAACTGAGGGTGTGGAGAGAAATGGTGGGGAAAGATGGGGAAAGAGATTAATAGTGGTCTGTGGCCTGTGCAGTGGATGGACTGGGCTGGGGGTGGCGGAGATGCCAGGGTGGAAAGTCTGTTGTAATATTTAAAGAACTGCAGTAATACCTTCCCAGGCACTTTTCTTGAAAACACATATTTGTCTTGGCCCCTCTTCTGCTAAAAAATACTTGCACATGATCTCCTAGCTGTAGTTCAGAATTCTTCGTACTCGACTGGTTCCTAGGTCCAAAATCAAAAGTGCCAAAGTTCTCAGGAACTTTGGAAGAAGTCTCTGAAATTTTGTGGGTTGAACCTTAAGAATTTTTGCTACTTGTAGGAATCTAAAACCCCTTTCTCCTGAAATATTTAACCTTTTTCATCACCATTTTAATGGAAGAGGCATGGATGATGGATGTTTGTGGCTGGGCATTTATAAATCAATAACGGACCCTAAGGAGGGACATTAAAGCTAAAAAATTAATCAAGATAATTTATGGCCAAACCTATAGTTCTACTGCAGGAAAGATCCTCTACTGTAGGTCAAAGGAGGAATAACCTTAAGACCTCACTTGCTGCTTTCTGCGGAAACCCCTGGAAGCAGTTCAAATGCAAAGTTAGAGCTTCAGAGAACGCACCCTGTAAATGGTAGTTGTGTATACCCTTACTGTTGACTATACCATATCTAGGCACAGTGAAATCTTGATGAAGAATGGAAAATTAAAGGAACAGACGCTTTTTACAGGGAGACTTCCCCCAACCCCCACCCCATGGTAAGTTTAAATATGTTCTGTAAACAACGAGGCTTTCCACATTCACATTAGAGACATAATTATTGCCCATATGTAAAAGAGCAACATATTTCAGGCAGGACCCTGGTGAGGAAAACAAAACCAAATCGAAACACTGCATGTGTGTGTTGCTTATTTAACTGAAAATGTTCATACACCCACAAATCTGAGATGCTGGACTTTTGGATGAGTCCATCATTTTGCATCTTAGTGTAGGGGGAGGGAACAACAAGGGGCTTAGCTGCTTAACCCTTGGCATGCCTTCATGATTGACTTATTAAAAACATTTTGAAAGCAAAGGAAAATGTGCTGCAAACACCCTTCCAGGTATCTTTCCTTCCAGCTTACACAGTCTCTCCTCTGTCCAATCCTTCCCACCCGGCAGCATTTCAGAGGTATTCCCTGTGAGGTACAAATTTTCTCTTTGCCTATTTTTCTGCACCTCTTTTTCTCTCTCTTTGGTATGTGTCCACCGAGCTCATAGAGGTTTAAGTGATGAAATATTATCACCCACATGGGTTTGCGTGGGACTTTCTTAGTGAATTACTCAGGCAGAGCAGGCTGTGATACAGCCTTGCTCACAAGCCTCGGGAGGGAAAAAATAGCACAGAGGATGAAAAGAATATTATCAGAGAGTAGGTAATGAAAGGTTAGCAAAGCGACCAGCTATATCTGGCTAGCTAGGTAATAGTGCAGGAACCTAGGTCGCACCTGTACAAACTAAGGCAGAACCTGCTCACGGCGCATTATGGGAAGGCTTTCATTTCAAGATTTTACAGCATGAGATATTTAAGTGAAAACTAAAACTGATTAGAAATTGATCCTGAACATCCCAGCCTTAGTCAACCTTCCCTTTTCCAAATTGTTATGCAAGGAGATTGGAGGATTGGGGCATCTTGAAAGTGTCACTGCAGTATAGCCATCTCTCTCAGGTAATATAAAGATAAAGGGAATATAATAAATTGACCTGTTATTTATTATATTTTTCATACCTAGGACATTCCGAGGCTGTAATATATTTCTGAAGCCTGCAGCCCTGATAAACATCAATCTCACGTCAGTTTCCAGCAGTCTCATCTCCCCACCCCCTCCTGCAATGAAAGCTAATGTAAAAGAAAGAAATATGCACTGCTTAGTAAGTCAGAATACAATAGAACTTGTAAAATGTACCTGCATATAAGGTAGACATTAGGAAGACTTGAATCTCTCTCTTCCCCCTGTTCTCCTGAGCATTATGGCAACAGCATTTTCATGAAATTAGATCTGTTTTATTTTTTTTCCTGATAAAATATCATGCAATATACAAATAGCAGTTCCAGAAATGGACACCAGGAGAAGGAGGCGACAGGCATGTCAATTAGTAGGGGGAAAATCCAAATGTCAGAAATATGGGGGAGAGAGAAAGCACGCAGGCAGTGGATGCAAATACAGGGAACAGAGTCTTTCAATTCAGATAATTAAACGGATGCATAAATCAGCGCCCGTGCCTCTCCATAATACACAGGCGATGCCATGCAGTTAATTATCAGCCAAGACCAGCATGAAAGTCATTTTATGATGACTCTCTGATCCTGATATAACAGCACCTGACAGATTGAGCCCCCTCTAATGAGTACTCTCTTTGTACAATCCTCTCTCAGGAACACTAAATCATTTGCTTCCAAGTACAGCTGCCTGTGAAGAAGGGGTGGGGCTAGATCATGCATCAGAAACCTGCTCTTGTGAAATGAGGGGCTGTCCTGTAGGCTGTGTGACTAGAAGCCAGCAGCCTCAGCCTCTCTAACGTTATAAAAGCAATTTGCACGCGGCTGTCCCTAATTCTAGTCAGCCAACTAACCCTCCCTCGGCACCCCCACCCAAACATCTGGATGTTATTCATGGAAAGTCCACTTCATGCGGGTCAGCACTGCTGTCCATCGGCCTTCACCCTGACCCCTTCTGGCAGGTGTGGATGAGAGCAGAGTAGATCCCATGGGGATGAGTTACCCAAAACCCAGTGAGCCTCCCTATGTGGGGCACTAGTCAGATGCTCCAGTTTCACGCTCTTTCCTGGAAAAACAAAACCCAACCTTGTGCCCTCTGGGTTCTCTAATTTAGCAGCTACTATCTCTCTGTTTTTGGAATGACACCCTGTGCAGTTTAGGATTTCAGAAGCTGTCCTGCATAGAAGCAGAAGGGAAAACAGCAGGTAGCTTGTTAACATTCTCCATGGGGCAAGGCAGATGTGCCCATGCTGGAGGTAACCTGCACACCCTCCAGGCCAGTTATCCGAGGCTTGGGAGGTTTCCCTCGGTCTTCTCCTAAGGCCTTGGCAGGACGCTGCCACCCTAAAATCAACTGCTGATTGCCTTTTTAGATGTAAATGATTAAGCTCTGCTTCTGGGAATCTTCTTCTCTTTACTTTGTTAAGAAACAAACAACAACAACAAACCCCCACCAATTCTTAGCAAAGGGGAATATAGAATTCAGATTTGAAAAAATAAGTCATCATGCTTCCTAAAATAAGACAGCTTCTCCCTCTAACTGCTCTCTGCTCTGGTATTCTATCTAATCATAAACCCAGCTTTATTATTCATTTCAACTCCTGCCAAAGACATGAGGTCGGAGTCAGAGGAACTCCCCTTACCACCACCACCACCACCATCATCATGGCCAGCATCCTCGTAAGTTTATAGAAAGATGCCAGAGAACCTTTCATATCCATCTGCAGCCCTGCTTGGCCCTTGCCTCAGTGAATTTACCACTATCATAATCACAGTGTGCAGAGTGTGTTAAATTAAGAACAGAATCTACAGTACGCAATGCACAGAAAAGCCTGCCTTCTGCTGCAGAGAACTTGAAACTGTGCCTAAAATTTATAGTACCGTAAACATCTCAGGGCCTCGAGTGATAAGTATGGCTGGATTTCCGTTAACTATAGAAATTCAGGCAGGGAGATCCTCCCAGGGAGTTGCGAGTTCTAAGATGAACTTCTTGAAGATTGTTCACAGATTTGTGCATGGGATACATGTACAGCGGACAGTTATAAGGAGGTCCATGGTCAGGGAAAAGAGGGTATGTTTCCATATGCCACAAAGGGGGAAAAAAGGAAGTGAGGGAACATATTTGATTAATCAAAAAATTTTAGTTTGGATACCTGCTTTCATAGTAATTGTTGCTGCGTCATTAAACATACAGGTGCTTACGAAAAGAGAAGGAAATAGGTGACTTTCTAATTTTAGAGTTAGGCTAGAACTGAGTGGTTGCTAAATTCAACTGCCCTGACAATGTGGGGATTTCCTGTCCATTAGCAGCGATTGCTATTTGACATATGTTTCTGGTGCCCATTAGGCTGCACTCTAATGGGTCAGAGGCAAACATCGGGGATTCAGAGGTACAAGGTGGCTCTCTTAATTTAATAGAACTCAATGCTAAGGACGCCTCCATTTGTTAATAAGTAATCAAGTCATTGCCTACTTTCTGCTGAACATTAGACTATGATAGTGACCTTAGACCCTGGGCATTCTAAACCAGGCTGGCAGGAGGGTGGCGGTGGAAGTGGTGTGAAGGAAGCCTCCTAGAGGAAGTGTTGTCCAAACAATCTGAAAATTGAAACATTATTAAAGGCAGCACTAAGGGTGATGTGTTGGAGTTGGGGCAGGAGCACTTGAGGCAGAAGGAACAGCAGGTGTCACTGCCTGCGGGTGAGACAGGGGGTGGAATTCTCAAGGCCTTACACCCCAGAAGACCAGGACTGGGCAAGAGCTGGCATTCAAGGAAGGAACAGCATGTACAGAGCCCAAAGTCCCAGGCACTTTCTGTTGGATACTGAGAGCAATAGGAATTCAGTAAAGGACTTTCAAGAAGTGATGTGATCAGATCCACCTGTGAGAAAGATGCCTTTGGCTGCTTCATGGAGAAATGACTGGAGAGGAGGCCTGCCTTAGTGTTGCAGAGGCAAAGTAAAGAACATGCTGCTGCAGTGACCCAGCAAAGAGGTGATGGGGGAGGAATCAGGCTGTGACAGGGGAAGAGGAAGCTGACTCAGTGTGTCCCGACTGCACAGACCTACATAGTGAGGCGAGGCCAGGGGCTGCATTTTTGTCTGAGAATAATATTTCCTTAGCTCTCTAGAGCTTACAGTGTCTTTTCGTTTATGTTATCTCAGTTCATCTTCCTAAACCTGTGAGATAACAGGTCACATGTCCTTATGTCATTCCTATTTTATAGAAGATGAAACTGAGGTTAAGCAATTAGTCAACAGACACAGAATCACAGGCCCTCTTCATTCTAAAGCAAGGGTCCAAAACCTTTTTTCTATAAAGGGCCAGAGAGAAAATGATTTACGCTTTGTGAGCCAGAGAGTCTGTTGTAGCTACTCAGCTCTGGGTTATTCTAGTGCAAAAACAGCTGTAGGCAGCATGTACAGAAATGAGCATAACCATGCTCCAACAAAACTTTATTTACAGGCACTAACGTTTAAATTTCAGACAATTTTCACATGTCACAAAATACCATTTTTCTTTAACCACTTACAAGTATAAAAACCATTCTTAGTTTGCAGGCAGTACAGAAAGAGTTTCGGCCCATGGGCCGTCATTCGCTGACCCCTGTTCGAGAGGATCTATCACAGAAGACTCTTGCTTGCCTGAAATTTGTGAGTGCATGTAAATGTTGGAATTAACAGGTGTCACTGTTTTCTCTTATGCTGTCTTTTGTCTTCAGGAACAACCAGGAAGATGCTGCACTTCGAGATTTCCAAGGAAGGCAGTGACCTGTCAGTGGTGGAGCGTGCAGAAGTCTGGCTCTTTCTAAAAGTCCCCAAGGCCAACAGGACCAGGACCAAAGTCACCATCCGCCTCTTCCAGCAGCAGAAGCACCCGCAGGGCAGCTTGGACACAGGGGAAGAGGCCGAGGAAGTGGGCTTAAAGGGGGAGAGGAGTGAACTGTTGCTCTCTGAAAAAGTGGTAGACGCTCGGAAGAGCACCTGGCATGTCTTCCCTGTCTCCAGCAGCATCCAGCGGTTGCTGGATCAGGGAAAAAGCTCCCTGGACGTTCGGATTGCCTGTGAGCAGTGCCAGGAGAGTGGCGCCAGCCTGGTGCTCCTGGGCAAGAAGAAGAAGAAAGAAGAGGAGGGGGATGGGAAAAAGAAGGGTGGAGGTGAAGGTGGGGCAGGAGCAGATGAGGAGAAGGAGCAGTCGCACAGACCTTTCCTCATGCTGCAGGCCCGGCAGTCTGAAGACCACCCTCATCGCCGGCGTCGGCGGGGCTTGGAGTGTGATGGCAAGGTCAACATCTGCTGTAAGAAACAGTTCTTTGTTAGTTTCAAGGACATCGGCTGGAATGACTGGATCATTGCTCCCTCTGGCTATCATGCCAACTACTGCGAGGGTGAGTGCCCGAGCCATATAGCAGGCACATCCGGGTCCTCACTGTCCTTCCACTCAACAGTCATCAACCACTACCGCATGCGGGGCCACAGCCCCTTTGCCAACCTCAAATCATGCTGTGTGCCCACCAAGCTGAGACCCATGTCCATGTTGTACTATGATGATGGTCAAAACATCATCAAAAAGGACATTCAGAACATGATCGTGGAGGAGTGTGGGTGCTCATAGAGTTGCCCAGTCCAGGGGGAAAGGGAGCAAGAGTTGTCCAGAGAAGACAGTGGCAAAATGAAGAAATTTTTAAGGTTTCTGAGTTAACCAGATAAATATAAATTAAAAAAACAAAAAAACAAAAAAACAAAAGTAAATTAAAAACAAAACCTGATGAAACAGATGAAGGAAGATGTGGAAAAAAATCCTTAGCCAGGGCTCAGAGATGAAGCAGTGAAAGAGACAGGAATTGAGAGGCAAAGGGAGAATGGAGTACCCTTTATTTCTTCTGAAATCACACTGATGACATCAGTTGTTTAAATGGGGTATTGTCCTTTCCCCCCTTGTGGTTCCCTTGTGAGCCTTGAGTCAACTAATCTAGTCTGCAGTAGTGTGGACTAGAGCAACCCAAATAGCATCTAGAAAGCCATGAGTTTGAAAGGGCCCATCACAGGCACTTTCCTACCCAATTACCCAGGTCATAAGGTATGTCTGTGTGACACTTATCTCTGTGTATATCAGCATACACATACACACACACACACACACACACACAGGCATTCCCACACATTACATATATACACATACTGGTAAAAGAACAATCGTGTGCAGGTGGTCACACTTCCTTTTTCTGTACCACTTTTGCAACAAAACAAAACAAAACAAACAACATTAAAAAATTGAGAACAAGTATGGAAAGAATGAAAGATCAAGGAAAAAAGAATACCAAGTTACATTTCGTTAAGGTGCTTATGATCTTAGAACTATGCAACCTAATAGGTTTGAAACTGTTTACCTGAGAGAGAACAAAAAGAGAGACTTTTTTGTATTGGAAGTAATCTGATTAATTTTTATTTTCTTCAAGGAGAGATACTTGAAAGGAATATGTTTGTCCATCTGTTGGATCCAAACATTTCTATATTTTGTAAATGTTGTTGTTGTTTTTTTTTAATCGTTTACTATTTGCACTACAATGGTGTTTGACCTGTCTAATCCTTATTTAACAAGTATTTTCTTTGAGTGGGGGTGGGGGTGGGGTTTAAGAGCTGCACTTAATGTGAGCTATAAAAGAACTGCTACAGCACACAAAATAGCTATTTTTATTATTATAATTATAATTATTATTATTATTTTGTACCTTAAAAAATAGACACATACACCAAAGACATTTGTGTGAGCCTTTAAACAGTCTGTCTGTGGTTGGTATCATTCACCATCAATGAGTCAGGGGTTGGGATTCAAGGTTGAGTAGTGTGGATTGTGTTCAGGCTTAAAAGACCTGAGAAGTTTGGTTTTTGACTCCTTTTACATCCATGAAACAGGACATTTCATACTGGATGTACAGTAGTTGTACACTGTTGGATATCAAGTTCAATCAAATTCATGGAACTACATGCTTGTATGTGTATATATACATTGCTTGTGCATATGCATATCTGTATGTATATATACATGTATTGTACCATGTCCATACACATTTTAAGCACTTCAGGCTGTCATTTTTTAATGTTCTTAAAGCAATGAATGTTTGTGTGCAAAACACAGTATTTTTAAGAAGGATAGGCTATAGTTTTTGCTTTTACTCTGAACTAGGTGGGCACATTTCAAAAATTCGGATGGGAAAAAGCCTGAAAATTCCAGTGAATATTCAGCAAGGCCCTCTTTTGTTGTACAGGGATCAAATTTCCTCCTCTTTTTTGTGCCCCCTCCCACTTCTACAAGTTTTCCCCTATGGGGAAAACAGGATGATAATCAAAACTCTGGGCGGAAGTTTTTCCAACTTAGTGTCTACTGGAATCAATCTTAAATCAGAAGCTTTTTCAGAAAAATATAATATTTAGGTCAGAATTAGAGTTAAGTGTATTTTTAAAAAATGATTAAGGCTTGGTTGTGAGAAATATTACCTGTACCAGCTGGGAAAAATAATGTCGCCACTAACTAAAAGATAATTAATTTGGGAGAAGGTGTTAAGAGAGGGAGAGTAAGGAAGAGAACAGTTAAGAAGAGGCAGAGATGAGGGCAGTAGTAAAAAAATCTCTAAATTTTTAATTTATAGCCAAAACTCTTCATGTGTAAATTTGT